TTAGAAAATATTATGTAATTTTTACTTTTTTGGCTATAAATAACCCCCCATATCACTTGTAAGACACACACCTTACACTACCACTTGAGAAAGAATTCTCTTCCTCTCTCTAGAATTGGTTAGAGCTCTCTCTCTACTATATTAATATAAGTTTTTAACTTGTATTATCAATTTTTCAGTTTCAATAATATTTTAGTTTATATTTATTTTACTCTTGCCCAAGTCTACATTTATATTACTCTGCATTATGGTCGGTTAAACCGCCTAATTTACTTTATCGCATTTTATTTACATGGTCGGCTCTGCCCATAAATTTATTTGCTTGCACTCGAACTGTATCTCCTGCAGGTTTAATTATCTTGTTGTTTGCTTTCTGTCCTTGCATCCATTTAATTTTTCCCTAATCTTTTAGGGGCATCGCTTCCGGTCCCCTTGGTATCTGAGCCATGGGGGGAAGTAAGGATTATTATTCTTGCTTTTAACTTGCTTTTATGTGGTATTGATAGATCAAACTCAGATTTATAGATATATGGCTTCTTTGATATATCTTTCTTAAATCTTATACTTTTTTAAGAAGATCTCTTAAGGATGGCACTGTGATCCTTTCGGATCTACACTGTAAGCAGTTTTTCTGAGAAAAGTGGATATGATAATTCTCAGTTGGCTTATAGATGGTTATTTATAACCTTTGAGTCATCCTAAAGAACAACTTCTTAAGAAATAATTAGGTTTAATTATTATATATAAGAGAAGACATGTATCCATATATTTGATTTTCAGATCTAACTTTTCTACATAATATTGAGTTAAGAACTTGAATATTATCCTTATGGAACCCAATGGTCTCTTGAACCAAGAACATGAAGCATTAAAGTTATCATGGATAATCTTGTTGTAATTACTTGCAGATCTAAGCCATGTCTTTCTTCCATCCTTTTTCCTCCCCTTCAAAAAATTCCTTCTCTTCTCCAACTTCTTCATCTTCCTCCTCATCATCCTCCTCCAATTCAAAACTCAAAGAAGAAATTAGCTTTTCTGATTTGCAGCAATCAATTGATGACTGGAAGATCCCTAAACATCCACACTCTACAATTTACAAGTCTTCACGATGGCCCTTAACTAGTGATTACCATATTTCTACAATTGAGCAAATCATTCCTCTTGAATCAGATCATGAGGAAATCAAACTTTTAAACCCAAAGTCTATAGAAAAATATAGGCGAAAATACAATTATCTCCATTTTGGTTTAGTACAGATTGCAGCTAGACCTCTGTCTAGGGAAGGACTAGACACATCTCTACTCCTCTGTCTTAGAGATTCTAGATTTTTAGACTTCAATGATTCCCTCCTAGGAATGGTAGAAACCAGCCTTTGTAGCGGTCCAATTTACTTTGATTGTTTTCCTAATTTTACGGTGTCTCTTAGAGATAGAAATATCTTAGATTCTTTAACTCTTAATGTTAAAATAGCCAATTACAAAAACAAAACTGGATCCTTACCAGTAGCAATTATTTATAGAATACAGTAGAAAGCCATGAGTTCTGCCTTTAACACTGGAGCCATGAAAACCCTCCATAAAGGAGAAACTGTTCTTTTAAAAACAGATCTACAATGATCTCAACTATCAATACCAAAACCCATTTCTTGGAGCCAAGTTTCTCTACCACAAAACTGGTTACTACAAGATGCCACTCAAGCTGAAAACCCAGAAAATACTACGGTCTCTCAGATCAAACAATATTCTAGCGGATCTGTAGCCATTTCCTTCCAAAGATCCTTTAGCCAAAGAGTCTATGTCTCGTCCTCTTCGACACAGTCTGAGATTCAGCCTCAGACGAACAACCAAGGATATGGAGATTACAAAATATAGGTCTTCTGCACCCAAGTTTAGGAAGACCAAACCATTTTCTTCTAAATCCAAAACCATTCCCAGTAAAAATAAATCAACAAACTTCCAGACTCCCAATTCTGGCAAATGTTTCAAATGCAACAAACCAGGCCATATAGCCAAATACTGCAAGTTGTCTAACAAAGTTAGAAATCTTGATTTAGATGAGTCTGTTCTTAACCAGATCGAACAACTATTAATAGAAGATAGCGACACTTCTAATGTTGCTGATGATGAATTTGAACAGCAATTTAACCAACTCGAAGATGATGACACAAATTCATGTTCATCCCAGTCTAGTCAAGAGGAACCTGCAATTAATTTTCTCTCCAAAGAACAAGATCTTCTTCTTGAAATAATAAGCAATCTCCAAGATTCTGACCAAAAGAAGTATTATCTCGAGCAATTCAAACGAACAATAGATAAGCCTTCCACATCTTCCTCTAATGTCTTTACCAATCACCCTCAAGTTGCCAATACTTACAATATTGCTGATATCCTCAGTAGATTCCCTTCCCAAAAACCTAAGGTAGTATCTATCCAAGATCTCCAAACTGAGATAGCATTTCTTAAGGAAGAAATTCGAGAAATTAAGGCTAAACAAGAATTAGACCGTCTTGTTCTCCAACAGCTCTCTACCAAACCTGAAGAGCCCAAACCAACTGAAGTTAAACCAATTGAACAAGAAGTTTTTTGCAACCACCTCTCCAGAATCTCCATAAGAAATTGGCATATGAGAGTCATCCTAATTGTCAATAAGTCCTTTACTTTGGATATCATTGCCTTATTTGATACAGGTGCAGATCTGAACTGCATACAAGAAGGGCTCATTCCAACCAAATTCTTTGAAAAGACCAAAGAAAGTCTTAGAGCTGCTAACGGCGGGAAACTAGGAATTAGCTTCAAACTCTCCAATGTTGAAGTTAGAACCTCCCTAGAAAATTCTCCATTGTCAGCCTCAAGTTCTTTCCTATTAGTAAAAGACCTTACTAATCCAGTTATATTAGGAACTCCCTTTATCGAAGAGCTCATACCATTTATGGTAACAAAACAAGGAATTCTAATCGAACGCATAGGAGGTAGAACCTTTCTTCCTTTCGATAGACCTCCAATGGCAAAGTTCTTGTCTACCATAAAAAGTAAAGAAGCACATATCAATTTTCTCAAAGAGGAAGTAGCCTTCCAAAGGTTACAAGAGCAGCTTCAAAATTCTTCTCTCCAATCCAAGATAAAAATTTTAGAAACCAAAATCCAGGAAGAACTTTGTGCTGACTTACCTACAGCCTTTTGGAATCGCAAGAGACACATTGTTAGGCTCCCTTACGAACCTGACTTTGATGAAAAAACAATCCCCACAAAAGCTCGTCCTATTCAGATGAATCACGAGCTAACCATTCATTGTCAAAAAGAAATCAATGATCTTCTTGAAAAACGCATCATCTCTCCAAGCAAATCCCCTTGGAGTTGTGCTGCCTTTTACATCAATAAAAACTCTGAAATAGAACGAGGTGTTCCTCGATTAGTCATCAATTATAAACCTTTGAACAAAGCACTTCGCTGGATTAGATACCCTATTCTAAACAAAAAGGATTTACTTCAAAGGCTTTATGCTGCAACTATCTTTTCAAAATTTGATCTAAAATCAGGATTTTGGCAAATTCAAATAGATCCCAAAGAAAGGTATTAAACTGCTTTTACGACACCATTTGGACAATATGAATGTAATGTAATGCCATTTGGTTTAAAAAATGCTCCTTCCGAATTTCAAAGGATAATGAATGATATTTTTAATCCTTTTTCAAATTTTATCATTATCTATATTGATGATGTTTTAGTATTTTCTACCAGCATAGATCAATATTTTAAACATCTAAAGGTTTTCTTTAATGTTATCAAAGAAAATGGATTATTTTATCAAAAACTAAATATAGTCTTTTTCAAACCAACATCCGATTTCTTGGGCACAATATTGAGCAGGGAACTATTGTCCCTGTTCAACGATCCATACAATTTGCTGACAAATTTCCTGACCAAATTTTAGATGAGACCTAACTTCAAAGATTTTTAGGATGTGTTCATTATGTATCAGATTTCATTCCAAGCCTTAGCAATTTGCTAAAACCTCTCCATGATAGGTTGAAAAAACCTCCACCTCCGTGGACTATAACCAATCAGGCACTTTCTTCATCAGTGCCACAACCTATTTCTTTACACAAGGGCTCCTCCTCCGAGGATCCCACTTATATTAAGAACGAAAGTGTTTACCCACTCATTCAAATTGAACCAGAATTCTGACATTCCAACCCCCAAGAAGTAGTTAAGAAAATACTTAGCCCTTCAGCCAGTTTCATTCAAAACACCCACAAACCTACCCAAAAATATTATGAGTTCATTCTCATAGATACAAGATCCTGCTTGTTTAAGCCCCACAAAGAAAAGTAAACCCAATCATATATCACACATACTACGGTGTGGATTAACAAAATAATCTCACCAAAGAATGGAGAACCCATCCAGCAAAATACAAAAGACTTTCTCAACCTTTTGATCCACAATTTTACAATTACTATGACTACCAGGCAGCGTGAATGAATGCTTTCACCTTCCAAAACCAACTTGGAAAGCATTCATGGTTCATCCTCTGTTGTAAACAATTAACCTCTGAATTCCCTCGGTGGTCTATACATCAATGGTGGCCTGTATATGGTCATAGAGCTGAAATCCTCCCAGCACCAGTAAAAGAAGGATACGATTATTTTTGTCATAGGTTTTTTTGTGAACATCAAATACCCATACTCCTCCAATTTTTCCACCGATTTCATATCCCATGGATATAATCCCAGAAGTTTTCCTTCCACAAGCCAGAAGGACATAAAGGACTACCGTTGTTAGCCATCCAAGGACACTGCAAATGGTATAAAATGTGGGATTCATCCGAAGCCTATGTACCTACGGTAGACAAGTGGTTTTTATCCCATCCACAGTATCTAGCTATAACAGATGCTGCTCAAATTTTATTTTTACAACAAAAGTCCATTGCAAGTGCACAACTAGCCGGTTCCAGCAGCAGGCTTGATTTTATTCAGTAAATGGAGCAAATTCTTGATACCCTCAAGACACAAATTCCAGGTCAACAAAATCAAACATCTTTGTCTGAAAATCATCAGAGGAAGAAGAAGAAGAAGAAGAAGAAGAAGAAGAAGAGCTTGATTTAATGTTCTGAAAAATTAATCAGAAATTACATTAGCATGACAGCACAATGACATCACAGCTGACATCATCCATGACCTCAACTAGCACTTACTCCTAATGACATCATGAATGACATTAGAAAATATTATGTAATTTTTACTTTTTTGGCTATAAATAGCCCCCCATATCACTTGTAAGACACACACCTTACACTACCACTTGAGAAAGAATTCTCTCCCTCTCCCTAGAATTGGTTAGAGCTCTCTCTCTACTATATTAATATAAGTTTTTAACTTGTATTATCAATTTTTCAGTTTCAATAATATTCAAGTTTATATTTATTTTACTCTTGCCCAAGTCTACATTTATATTACTCTGCATTATTGTCAGTTTTACCGCCTAATTTTCTTTATCGCATTTTATTTACATGGTCGGCTCTGCCCCATAAATTTATTTGCTTGCACTCTAACTGTATCTTCTGCAGATTTAATTATGTTGTTGTTTGCTTCCTTTCCTTGCATCCATTTAATTTTCCCCTAATCTTTTAGTGGCTTCGCTTCCGGCTCTGATATCAAGGGGACCGGAAGCGAAGCCCCTAAAAGATTAGGGAAAAATTAAATGGATGCAAGGACAGGAAGCAAATAACAAGATAATTAAACCTGCAGAAGATACAGTTAGAGTGCAAGCAAATAAATTTATGGGGCAGAGCCGACCATGTAAATAAAATGCGATAAAGAAAATTAGGCGGTAAAACTGACAATAATGCAGAGTAATATAAATGTAGACTTGGGCAAGAGTAAAATAAATATAAACTTGAATATTATTGAAACTGAAAAATTGATAATACAAGTTAAAAACTTATATTAATATAGTAGAGAGAGAGCTCTAACCAATTCTAGGGAGAGGGAGAGAATT